TGTGAACGGGCTACCCTCTGGGCCCAGGACCTGCGAGGGCAGGGTTAGACTGTCACCTGCTGTCCAAAACTGGAACAGCCTCTGAGTGAGACGTAACCAATAGGCCTTTTAAGTCCAACCATCCAAGATATTTCTTACGGGCTTTATTCTACTCCTCCTCCCTCTCCCCTTCCCCTTTCTTTGTCCTCCTCCTCTCTCCCTCTTCCTATTCTTCTTCCTCCTCTTCTTTTTCTTTTTCTTGCAGCATTGGGTATTGAACCTAGGCCCTAGCACAGCTAGGCAAGCTAATACTGAGCTATACTCCCAACCTCTTTAAAATTTTTTTATATAGAATCATGTTCTCCCTAAATTGCCCAGACTGACTTGGGACTTGATGTTCTCTTGCCTAAGCCTCCTGAATAGCTGAGATTATGGGTGTGCACCACCACACCTGGTGTACTTACTGTTTTCAATTCTTTTTTTTTTTTTTTGGTATTGGGGATTGAACTCCGGACCTTGCGCTTGTGAGGCAGGCACCGGAACCACTGAGCTAAACCCCCGGCCCCAAAATTTTCTGACTAATGAACACATTTCCTAGTTTACTGGACAAGACCAGAGTAACTTTAGCCTTTTTTTTTTTTTGATACCAGGGATCGAACTCGGGTACTTGCAATTGCGCAGGAGGCGGCAAAACCACTGAGCTAAATCCCCGGCCCCTGTTTTCAATTCTTGACATATGTCTGGTTCTATACCAAACACTTTATATTCATTCCACAGAGAGTACATGGACTCCTACTGAATGCCAGACACTTTCCGTTTCTGGGAATAGCACATGAACAAAGCAGATAGAGTTGCAGGTCTTGCTGGAAGAGGGAGGCAGACAACCAAGTCAAATGCAAGGCACATGAGACAATAGTAAATTCGATGGAGAGGAGAGAATCTGATGGGCTGCAATTTAGAGTCCCTGTTTGGTCCTCACAGCTGCCTTGTGAGGAGTAGGTTCTATTAAGATTCTTGTTTTGTAGATGAAGAAACAGGTTCAGAGAGGTCAAGTGAGTTGTATAAGGTCACACAGGTAATCAGGACTGAGCTGGCCTTCTGGTTTGGTTTTTGTTTTTTTTTCTGCTCCTTCTCCCTAAGTGGGAAATAGCGTGAGCCCAGCTCTGTCTTTCCAAAGCTGTGGTAGCACTTGTGGTAAGTCCAGCTTTGAGTCTGCTGCTTGTTGGCTTTGTAAGTTCCTGTGTCCTGTGTGACCCAGCCTCTTCTCCAGCATGGACGTGAGAAGAGGTGACATCTGGGAGAGGAGGGTGCTCTGCTGAGTTCAGTGGGACTTGGAGACCCCGAGTGGGCAGGTGGTAGGTGTTGCGTGCTGTGGTGGGGAATAACCGTGCCTCTGCCCCCTGCAGGCCTCCTGTCTCTGCGGCTCCGCACCCTGCATTCTGTGCTCCTGCTGCCCCTCCAGCCGAAACTCCACCGTGAGCCGCCTGGTCTTCACCAGCTTCCTCCTCCTGGGTGTGCTGGTGTCCATCATCATGCTGACCCCGAGCGTGGAGAGTCAGCTCCACAAGGTGGGGGGGAGGGTATAATCCCTTTGGAAAATCTTAGTCTTAGTTACTTTTCTCACTGCTGAGACAAAATACCCAACACCCAAAGTTAAAGGGGGAAAGGTTTATTTAGCTCACAGTTTGTAGAGGTTTCAGTCCATAATCAGTTGGGTCCAAGGCAGAGTAGGATCATCGCAGAGAAAAAACAGTTCATGGCTGGCCAGCAGGTAACAAAAAGCAACAAGAGATCTTAACAGCATCTTTCTGCTTCTTTTTTATCTTATTCAGACTACTTAGGGCAGGTAGCACTCACATCTTTAATCCTAGTGCCCTCGGGCCTAGCCCCACCAGGAATCAATCACACTCTAGATTCAGCTGCCTCTGAAAAAGCCCCACCTAAGATAGCATGAGGCTGTGGGGGACATCTAGACACAAGCTGTAACAATCCTATATGCGTCACTTGGGGATCCTGACTCCCCCCTTCATTCCAGTGTCTCACGGCCTGGCACAGGGCTGTCCCATCTTGGTGCACATGGGTGTGGACCCCTGGGGAGCGTGTGGACATGTGGGCTCTCAGACCTTACCCTAGAGGCCTGACTCTGTAGCAGGAAGGCCTTGGACTCTCCATTTCTTCCAAGCCCAAGTCAGTGGCTCTCACTCAGGTGGTGGGTGAAGGCCACACAGGGAAACCCTGCTTTGACAGTACAGCTTGCACTGAGACCTTGGGGTGACCACAGGGGACTGCAGGCGGTCTCCAGGGAGCCACCCGAGGGCTCTAGGCAGGGCTGTCACACTGCTCTCTCTGTCTGTTTCCACAGTTGCCCTGGGTGTGCGAGGGGGCCGAGACCCCCAGCATTGTGCAGGGCCACATCGACTGCGGCTCCTTGCTGGGCTTCCGCGCCGCCTACCGCATGTGCTTCGCCATGGCCGCCTTTTTCTTCCTCTTCACCGTGCTCATGATCTGCGTGCGCAGCAGCCGGGACCCACGGGCTGCCATCCAGAATGGGTGAGGGAGGGACCCCTCTGTGCCCTTCCCCAGGGGGTCTTCTCCTCTGCCTCTCCAGGGATCTTTAGACCCTGCCCTCGGCCTCAGGAGCCACTGACACCAGGTGGACATGGCACAGGGACAGTGCATTTGGTTCTGCCCATTTCCTAGATTCGGAAAGGGCCACAGTATGCCTAAGGTCACAGAGTGCTTTAGTGACAGTCAGGCTAGAAACTGGGCAACCGTGCTCACTCCTTGGTTCTTTCCTCTTTGCCCCTCTGGGCTTTTTCTAGGGATGGAACAGATGTTCTGAGCCCATCAGAAAGTCCCTCCTTTCCTCTCCCAGGTCTGTTCTTCAGGGTGGGGGTTCTGGGCCCTGACCTGCACCTGGTGGCCCTACCTTCACTCAGCTTTCTTGTCTCCCCGCCCCACCATAGGTTTTGGTTCTTTAAGTTCCTGATCCTTGTGGGCATCACCGTGGGTGCATTCTATATCCCCGATGGCTCCTTCTCCAAGAGTAGGTGGCACTGAGGGCAGTGGGGCTGGGGGCCTTGGTGGGAGGAGTGTGGGGCACTGCTTTTGTCCCTGGCCTGCTGTCCCCTGCTGTGAGACACCCACTGGTGCTGGACTCACGGCTTTGAGCACTCAGGATGAGGGGCCCATCTGGTCCTCATCCATCCTGTGCCACAGTGGCTGGCACTCCCCGAGGGTGGCCTCAGCTTCTTCTCAGTGTCTCCAGTGTAGGGCACGCCCAGTGGTGAGTGAATAGAAGTGTCCGAGGGGCAACTGCGGGGTGCGTACTCTCCCAGGACTCCAGTGCCTCCAGGCCTGGCCTCACTCCCCATCCCCACACAGTCTGGTTCTACTTTGGCGTCGTGGGCTCCTTCCTCTTCATCCTCATCCAGCTGCTCCTGCTCATCGACTTTGCACACTGCTGGAACCAGCGGTGGCTGGGCAAGGCCGAGGAGTGTGACTCCCGGGCCTGGTATGCAGGTCAGTCCCACCGGCCTGCCCTCTGGGGCCTGAGGGTCCAGGGAGCCCAAGGCTGGTGAGGTGGACAGGGTGGGTGGGAGGTGCGTGCACGGGCAGTGGAGGAGAGTGGCCACACAGCCCTGGGGTTGAGCTCAGAGAGTCCACAGCTCCCGCAGGACCGGCTGCACAGAGGCAGCGATGTGAGGCCCTTCAGGCGGTGTTTGGACCAAGTTCCAGGGACACCTGGTGGTTGACCCCCTGGACCCCCAAGGATGGACTCTGTGCAGTCTCTGGGTCCTTGTGAATACATGAGGAGGAAAGGCTCGGCTGGGTGCTGGTGTGGCCTTCATACCTCCCTTCAGCCTCCCGACTGCCAGGCACCTGGCTCTGTTTTCACATGTCTGTCTTGAGGCTTTCATTTTGATGCCGGGGTCCTCTTTGTACGGCAAGTGAGTTATCTTAGCTCAGAACCAGGCAGAAGTGCACAAAGATCCTGGTGGAAGACACTGATGTCACTCCTGAAGCAGGGAAACTGAGGCCCAGAAGGGACCCAGGGATCAGGGTCCCCAAGCCTATTACCCCCTTGGGATCGGGACCCCTATGCCTTCTGCCCCCTGAGTTGGCCTCCCCCTGTGCTTCCACCAGGCCTCTTCTTCTTCACCTTGCTCTTCTACGCACTCTCCATCGGGGCTGTGACACTGCTCTTCATCTACTACACCCATCCCGGCACCTGCCATGAGGGCAAGATCTTCATCAGCCTCAACATCGTCTTCTGTGTGTGTGTCTCCATTGTTGCCGTCCTGCCCAAGGTCCAGGTGAGCAGCCTATCACATGGCCCCTGGCGCGTGGCACTTCTTGTAGGGGACTGACAACCGGGACTGACTGTCCCAGGGTGTGGGCTGTGTGTGGGCTCCCAGAGGGCCTCCCAGGCTGAGTCTCTGTTCTCATATCTGCTTGCTGGGTGTATTTGTCGAAGTGCCTTAACCTCTCTGTGACCCTCTCTCCGAAAATATAACCAGGGATAATGGTAATACCTGGTACTCTCAGAATTAACACTTAGAGCAATGCCTGGCAGATAGGTATGGGAAAGGATTTAGCTCAGTGGCGCTGTGCCTCCCTGGCAAACACAAGGTCCTGAATTCGATTCCCAGTACTAGGGGGGAAAAAAACAACCAAAAAACCCAATCAGATAGAAGATGCTAGATTTATTAATGCTGTCATTTGTCACTTTCATGCAAGTGAGGAGACTATTAGGAAAGGTCAGGGAGTGGTGCTAGGAAGGGCAGAAGCACGTTGTCCCAGAGACAGTGGGTGGTACTCCCAGAGGAACCATTTGTCCTTCAGAAAGCATCTCTGGCCTCCCTTCACATCCCATGGTACTTCCTAGTTCCGGTCTCCGCACTGCACGGGTCTCTTGGGGAGCTTAGAGGGCCCTTGCAGTCTCCAGCAGAAAAGTCAGGAATCTCCTTCCGCTCAGAGCATCCATTTCCGGCTGAGAAAGTCGAAGCCCAGAGCAGGTGGTGGTTGTCCAGTCACACGGCAGTCAGGGTTTGTTCAGCGCTCGAGTACCTGCTGTGTACCAGGCACTGTTCTTGCACTGGGGATAAACTGTGAGGGGAAGAGGAAGAATGATAACACAGCAAACAGCTCATGGCATCTGTTCCGGATGTCTTCTGGCCCTCGCCTGGTCATCATCCCCACACTACAGGTGCAGAAATGGAGGCTGAAAGAAATAGAAACTTAGCCACCGTCATGTAGCTGTAAATGGGAGAGCTGGGATTTGAGCCCAGGCAGGCTGCTCCAGAGCCTGTGCCCTGAATCATAGTTTCACCTCATACTTTCAAGTGCGGATGTGGTGAGGGGTGAGGAAGGACAAGTTGCAGGGGATGAGGCCAGGCAAGGTACTTTTTTGGTAAGAAGTATTATGTGGACAATAGAGGCAGGTAGGGGCTAAAAGGGAGTGGGCTGGTAGAACTGGGGTTCCCAGGGCCTCACTGGAGGTACTGTTTGAGGACTAAAGAGCGGTTGCCTGCCGGAGAGAGTGGGAAGGAACATGTTAAGGACAGTTACCAGCCAGGCATGGTGGCATATGCCTGTCTTCTCAGCACTCTGGGAGGCTGAGGCAGGAAGATTGCAAGTTCAAGTCCTACCTGGGCAATTTAGTGAGACCCTGTTTCAAAATTTAAAAAGGTCCAGGATGTAGCTCAGTGCAAAGGCCCTGAGCGCAACCTCAGTACCACAAATGGGGCTGGGGGCTGGGGTGGGATAGGCATTGACAGGTTCCATGGCAGAAGAGGCAGAGTGGAGGTGAGACTGGGCAAACCAGGGCAGCTTTGATTCTTGGACGCTGCCCTTGGAGGGTTTTTGGAAGGGAGGAAGTGGGATAACCCCAGGGGTGTGAAGATGAAGAATTAGAACTCTACTTTTGGGTGGCAAGTGACCTGGTTGGGTGGGGTTTTGGAGGGGTCACTGATGGCTGGCTAGAGTGGGCTGGGTGGGAGTGGGATGTCCCCGTAGGGCGAGGGTCATAGCAGTGAATGGCTCTTGCCAGGAAGCCCAGCCCAACTCAGGTCTGCTACAGGCCTCGGTCGTCACACTCTACACTATGTTTGTCACCTGGACGGCCCTATCCAACGTCCCTGGTGAGTATGGGCCCAGGTCTGGCCTCCAAGCAGCCTGCCAAGGGCTGGAGACCCTCACAGGTGACGGGGACCTCCCAGCTCCTGTGGGTTCCGGGTCTCAGTCCTTCAGGGAGGTGGGGGAGTTGTCTGGGCGGGAGTTGCCTGTCTGTCATTTTGTCTGCCAAGTGTGTTTGTCTGTCTGTCCTCTGGGCTGGCTCTGGCCCAGGGTGACAGTGCTCCTGAACCCAGACCAGAAGTGTAACCCGCACCTGCTGACCCAGCTCAGCAATGAGACTGTGCTGGCCGGGCCCGAGGGCTACGAGACCCAGTGGTGGGACGCACCCAGCATCGTGGGTCTGGTCATCTTCATCTTGTGCACCCTCTTCATCAGGTACGTGGGTCTGGCTGTGGGGAGGTCACAGTGGGGGGCCCAGAGCTGGCAGTGAAGGAAGGACCTGGGAGCCAGGCAGCAAACTCACAGGTGCCCCAGTGGGCAGTGTGTCCAGCCCTGGCCTGTGCTAGTGAGGAAACCAAGTCCCTCTGAGGGCACAGCGTTGGTGGGCAGCAGAGGGCGCTGCACCCAGGCCACCTCAACTCCAGCTGAGTGGGGTGCAGGCATCTGTAGGGGCAGGGAGGTGCTTGGACAGGAAACAGCGGGCCCAGGCTTTGTCTCTCTCCTGCTGTGTAGCCCTGGGTAAATGGCTTAACTGTTCTGAGCCTCTGTTTCCTCCTCAGAGGAGGACAATCTCCATGGTGGTTGGGGTGGCTATGATCCCATAATCTCCCCTGAGAAAAGGCAGCTCGTGCTGCTGAAGATCACACAGTGACATAGTGACTTTTTTTTTTTGATACTGAACATTGAACCCAAGGAAAAAAGCAAAAACCTACATCTCCAGCTTTTTTTTTTTTAAATGTATTTAATATTTATTTGAGATAGGGTCTCATTCTATAGCCCAGGCTGGCCTTGAACTTACAGTTCTCCCATCTCAACCTCCCAAGTACTGGAATTACAGGTGTGTTTGGCTGGGGTGTTTTTGGAGACAGGGTCTCAGTAAATTGGCCAGGTTGGCCTCCAGACTTGTGATCCTCCTGCCTCGTGATCCTCCTGCCTCTTGAGGGGTTGGGACCACAGTTGTGTGACACCATGCCCGACACTACTGCGACTTTTTCACAGGGACATCTTAGCGAGTGCTTATCAGTGTGGACTCTGGAGCCAAACTGCTTGCCTTTGACTCTGACACCCTCAGCCTGCTAGCTGGGGAAGTCAACCTCTCTATGCCTTGGTTTTCTTACCAGTGAAGTAGGGGTAAAAGTAGTGCCTACCTCCCCGGATCGCTGCAGGGTTAGGGTGTGAAGAGTCACTATGTACAAGACCTAGCAAGGAACTTGACTAGGAGTAGGTGCCCAGTGGGTGCTGAATGTTGAGGCCATCATCTGACCATTTGCACCGCCGGCTGAGTGATGCTGCTGTGTCCCCTGGGGACCCTGTTTTGGTCTGATTGTTGTTTACGCTGCCTCTGGCTGCCTCAGAGCCCCAGGCGGCACTGTGCACCACCGCCCTGTGCTCTCTGGAGGCCACCTTGGGTCAGTTCTCCTCCTGCCTGGTTCTCTGTCCCTCCCCTTCCCTGACAGACCTGGCTCCTCAGCTTCTCACCCTCGCACTTCCCTGGCCTGCAGCCACCGGGGGCTCTACTGACAGCCCAAGGTGCTATCTGCTCCAAGTTGAGTTTGTTTGTTTGTTTTCAGTACTGGAGATTGAACCCAGGCCCTGTGCACTGAGTTACATCCCCAACTCTTTTTATAATTCTTTATTTTGAGACAGATTCTCACCACATTGCCCAAGCTGGAATTTGCAATCCTCCTAGAGTCCTGGGATTACGGGTGTGCAGTGCTGCTCCTGGCTTGGCATAGCTCTAAAGCTCAGGCAGCTGAGAGGTGGAAGGTGCCACAAGGCAGGGGCAGCACCTGTGGCCCAGTGCCCATAGTAGTTGGCAGTCAGAGTCCCCTGGAGCTTAGCCAGTTTTGTGGGGTGGGACTGAGATCCAGTGCTGCTTTTTTACTTTTTTTTCAAAATGCAAGTTGATTTTTCAAAATTGTATATATCTGAGACTGTTAAATTCTGTTTAAAACATCAAATGTCATCATAGAAACCAATGACACACAAGCATAACTGTGACTATTTTCTTTTCTTAGTGTAAACCCAAAGGGAGGCAATTGATAAGATAAATTACCAAAGACTAATAAAACTTAATGTTAATGGTAAATGAACGCTATCAATTATTAACCCATATTAATTATTGTAGCAGCACCTGGTCTGGTGCTTTATAGTACTAGGGACTCAAATATGTTTGTGGAAATGACAAATGAACAATCATAATAATAGTGATTTTTGTGGGGTGCTACTGGGGATTGAACCCAGGGGTGCTCCCTATTCTTTTTATTGTTTATTTCGAGATAGAATCTTAGTAAGTTGCCCAGGCTGACCTTAAACTTGTCATCCTCCTGCTTCAGCCTCCCGAGTAGCTGGGATTGTAGGTATGCTGTACTGTGCCCAGCAATAGTGACTGTTCAGTTTCTTCTTTGTGCCTGGCACAGCACTTGGATCTTCACATCATCATTCCTTTTGGTCCTTCCAGCATCCTAGGAGAGTCATGCTATTATTCCCAATTTTATAGATGAGGCATGAGAGGCTCAGAGAGGTTGAGTGTCTTATTCATGGTTACACAGGGAGTTGGCATAGAATTGAGTCAAAACAGTTTGACTCCTGGACCCAGTGCCAAACCACCAGGCCACTGGCCTCCAAGACTCTGAGACCATCAGTGTCCAGCACTGTGACCAGTGCCATGGCTCAAGGGGCCACCACTCCTCTCCACCCACCCACCTTGGTAGCAGTGGCCCTGATGCCGCCTCCTCTCCCCAGTGTGCGCTCCTCGGACCACCGGCAGGTGAACAGCCTGATGCAGACAGAGGACTGCTCAGTCACCCTGGATCAACAGCAGCAGCAGGTAGCTGCCTTCGAGAGCCGAGTTTTTGACAACGAGCAGGACGGCGTCACCTATAGCTACTCCTTCTTCCACTTCTGCCTGGTGCTGGCCTCCCTGCACATCATGATGACGCTCACCAACTGGTACAGGTGAGCACAGCCCAGCGGGCAGGGGTGGCCTAGTGTGTCGGCTGCCCCTCCTGGGGCCCAGTCCTGCTCAAGGCTGGGGCCTGGGGTCGGTCTTGGACCCTCCACAGAGCCTGCCCCGGCCCACTGCAGGTTCCCTGCCCCTGCCTTAGGGTCTGCTGAACTCCTGGTGCCTTCACAAAGTGACTGAGGGGGTGTCACAGGAGGGGCTGGGCCTGTGCAGGGCCACTGGGTTTGCAAATGGGGGTGGATTGTGGGTTCACATTTGGGATTCACGGTTGGACGTTTGGATTACAGTGTGGAGCTCAGAATCAAAGCCACAAGGTTGAGAATAGGAGTCATGAGGTCCAGGGCTGGGGTTTGGGCCCATGCAGTATCTCAACTTGACTCTGTTATTCAGGACTATTGAGTAGCAGTGATTTAGTGAACACACACACACACACACACACACACACACACACACACACACACCACACACCAGGGCTGGGTCATTTGGTTAAAATTGGGTTTGGAAGGCCGTAAAGCCAGTATTGAAGTGGCTGGGTCAAGGAGTTAAGATTTGGGTAAAGTTCAGGGGTCAAGGCTGGGTTATAGGAGCAAAGATCAAAGTCAAAGTTAGATCAGGACTAAGGTCAGGAGCTGCAAGGTCCCAAAGTCAGGAACTAAAGTGACATCCAAGAATTAGGATCACACAATTAGAGAGCAGGAGTCAGGTCACAATTTCAAGGTCTAAGCCCGGGATCAAGATCAGAATTGAGAGCCAGGCATGGTGGCACATGCCCGTAATCCCAGCACTCAGGAGGCTGAGGCAGGAGGATTGCTGTGAGTTCAAGGCCAGCCTGAACTACATAGTGAGTTCAAGGTCACCCTGAACTACATAGCGAGACCCTGTCCAAAAAAAAAATCAAAATTGAGGTCAGAGTAAGGTCTGTGATACAAGGCTTTGTCCAGGGTCACAAAGCCAAGGAGCCAAAACATCAGAGACTGGGACCAGAGTTCCAGGGTAAGAGTCAGTGTAGGGCGTAAGGTCAGGGATTAGAAAGGACTAAGGTCACAAGGAAGATGGTGTGTTCCAGACCCAGCGAGATGCACAAGATGATCAGCACGTGGACCGCTGTGTGGGTCAAGATCTGCGCCAGCTGGGCGGGGCTGTTCCTCTACCTGTGGACCCTGGTGGCGCCCCTGCTCCTGCCCAGCCGTGACTTCAGCTGAGGCAGCCATTGGTGCCTGCCCTCCTGCTATCGGCCTCCATGACAGCCAACTGCCTGCTCCCCATACCCCGTCAGCCAGGCTGAGCCACCCCCTACAAGACTGGCCCTGGGCTAGGTTCCCCCATTTTCAGTGCCTTTGGGTCTGAGGAGCAGCAGGCTCACCCCTGAGCCCTGCCTTCCTGCCACCCCAGACCACAGAGCTGCCTCTCCCTTCCCTGGCCCTCATCACCCACACTCCCCTTCTCAGGACAGAAGCCCCCTCCCCTGCCCAGGAGAGGGGCTGAAGGAGAGGGGTGCCCAGAGCCACTCAGAGGGCAGCGAGCACTACGGTGCCCAGCACTGAGCCCGCTGTTCCCCACCTGGCCCCTTCCTGGACCATGTGCCTTACTGAGTCTCTAAGACTTTGCCCAATAAACACGACTGCGTGTGCCTTCCCTCATCCTGTGTCCCTCACCCTCAGTGCAGGGCTGGAGGTGGACTGTCAGGCCTGAGGGATGGGGGCCCAGGCTCTGTCCTCTGGGTCAGGGAGAGGCAAGGGGTTGGGGCCCAGGAGGAAGGACCAGGGTGCTGGGAGGAGGGAAGCGGAGCCCAGAGAAGGGGAGGTGGAGGCAGTGGGACCCGTGGGGTCCATTCATGTGGTTAGTACGGAGACAATAGGGCAGGAGGTGGCCAAGAGGGCTGCTCTCAGGGTCCCTCTGGCCACCAGCTGTCTGGTGTCATTTGCATGGGGAGAACCCAGTCATACCCTCACCTTCTTGCTGCAGTGGGCACTGACCCCTGCCTTGAGCCAGGTGCACTGCAGAACGCAGAGGAGGTGCAACCGAGCCCCAAGCCTCAGCACCCAAGGAGGCTCTCGTGCCCTGGTGTCACCTAGCCAGCCTGGGTCCTCTGAAATGTGGGAGCTGTGGGGCCCCAGTGGCCTCCAGGTGGGTCCTTGCCTCTCTGGCCCTGGCTCCCCATCATCCAAGGGGAGCACGTCATCCATGCAGGCTGTTGCACCCACAAAGCAGCCTCTGCAGTGAGTGGTTCATCAGACACTCAGGGGGTCACGTCAGCTCCTAGCTCCCAGGGGTGACTTGGTTGTGAGCACAGCTGAGGGCCACTCCGCCTTCCACTTGTGGGTAACTGAGTAGGCACAGACACAGTGTGGGTGCAGGGGACAGATGGCTGCATTCCTGGGTTGTGCGGTGAGTGCAGGGAAGGTGGCAGCACAGGGCCCTGTGGGGCCATGGAGGAGACACCTGTGGGCCAGGAGGGTGGTCATCCTGGCGCATGAGCAGGGGGAGCTGGGCCCAGACAGTGATGGAGCCCCATGCAGTGGGATAGCACAAGGGCTTCCAGGCCCCGTGAGAAGTGTGAGGTGGCCGGGTGCAGGGAGCACGTGGGTGAGGAGGGAAGTGTGAGCTGAGGGGCGGGCCAGGGTCACACAGTCCCTGGGGGCCCTGGGGAGGAGCCAGACACCATCCTGCAGGCGGAGGGGCCACAGAGGGGCTTGGAGCCAGGGAGGAGCACAGAAGGTGTGGGCTGAGGGTGGGAGTCCTGGGTGCTTTAGAGCTGCAGTGACAGGGCAGATGGTCATTTTATGTTGTGGGTTTTGTTTTTTTTTTTTTGGTACTAGGGATCGAACTTGGGACCTTGTGCTTTCGAGGCAGGCAGGCAGGCAGGGTAAGCACTGAGCTAAATCCCCAGCCAGATGGTCATTTTAGGATGATTTCCCTGGGTGAAGTAGCAGGGAGCAGCTGGGGCAGGCAGGGCCTGGGCACCTACAGTGGGGCATTGGCTGAGGGAGCCTCTCTTGCTTCTGGAACAGGTCTTGGGGATGCCCATGTCCTCTGAACTTCCCAGGTGAAAAGACCCAGCTCCAAGGGGCACACAAGGCGAGGAGCTGCCTTTGGCCCTAAGGACCTGTGCTCTGCCTGGTGAAGACATCTGCTGTCACTGTCCCCAGGCCTGGGCTGCTATTACTGCATTGTGCCTCAGCCCTACCTGTCCGGGGGATCTCTGCACCCAGGCTGTGGGGTGCTATCCAGGCCGAGTGAATGCAAAGCTCATAGATCATGTGAGGAAACAGGCAAGTGGTCCACCGAGATGAGCTTCAGGCTTGGCTAGTTCTGTGTACATCACTCTCTAGCTGTGTAACTTTAGGTACGTTGCTTGCTCTCTCTGGCCTTCCATTGCAATTTCCATAAAATGGCAACAGTAGCTGCTTTGTAAATTATAAAGCCCTGTGCATTCATTGCATGGACAGTGTGCTTAACCAGTGGACATTGCCAACTTCCCCCTTTCCCACCTGTATCACAAAGGCTGGAGAAACCGTCTGGTCACTTTGCAGCTTCCCTGAGAGTTAGAGGGGGCTCCAGAAAATAGCTGGGCTAATTAGATCTAACTGAAAATGCCAAAGAACATTTCCACAAAAGTGTCTGCTTTCCTGTTACAAGGTATTCACTGCTGGTTCCCCCATTTGATGACTGACTGCAGTACTAGGGATTGAATCCAGGGCCTTCACAGCGAACTACATTCCTAGTCATTTTTTAAGTTTTGAGCCAGAGTCTCAAAAGTTGCCCAGGGAGGAATCAAACTTGCAATCCTCTTGCCTCAGCCTCCCAAAGTGCTGGGTTTTTAAGTATGCACCACCACACCCGGCTCCCCTTTCTTAACGCTAAATGATGTTAATGTTGCAGCAGTGTCTTGGGACAATGAGGCAACAGACCTGGGAGAGAAATCAACAAGGTGAGGGTGGAGGTTCAGAAAAGGAGGAGTGCGGTTCCTCGATGCACCTGGGAACTGCTGCTTCAGAGCTACTCTGCCGGCTTCAGAAAACAAGCCCCAGTGTGGTTAGTTGGGTAGGAAGTTTCTTGCAGCTGCATATATTTCTAACTGATATAGTAGTGAGGTGTTCATTTATTTTAGCGATAATAAAAAACAGTAAGTGGGCTGAGGATTTAGCTCAGTGGTTTCGCTGGCTGCTGCGCAAGCGCAAGGACCTGAGTTCGATCCCTGGTACCAAAAAAAAAAAAAAAAACCCTCAAAAAACAACAAACAAACCAAAAAACCAGTAAGCAAGAGAAACTTGGCTGTATAGCTCAGGACTATGGGTAGCAATAGTATACAGTGTGCACACTCACACAACAGATATGTATGTATTATGTGTGTCCATAAAATATCCATGCATGATTACTAACAGGAGGACCTGCAAAGAGTATTTGAAGAAGGTCTGGGAGGTTTGTGGGGGAGTGGGGAGCAGCAGAGATGTTACCTATGGAACACACAGGTAACCCACTTCCTCTCCCACTCTGGTT